CAGCGTCCCTTACATATATCATTGAATGAACATAGTATCAATCCCTATAAAAAGCCTTAGGAGTAGGTAGGTAGTGGAAGGCAAGAAGTTGCGAGAAGAATATAGAAGGGAAGAAAAAAAATAGAAAAAAAAAAAAAAAACAAAGGTTAGCTCAGCACACTGGTGTTGAAAAAAGAAAAAGAAAAAAGAAAGAACACTGGTGTTGTGAAGGACAGAAAGTCTCTGACATCTCGCACACCATGGGTGACCCCTTTTTATAAGGACAGCTGAGGGGCCGAAAAAAAAGAAAAAGCGAAAAGGAGAGAAGATATCTGAGGGATACATTCAGGCCCGGAACGTGCATGATTCCATGTCATGGGTTGGCGGCTGGGAAGTATGCGGAATGCGACGGTGGGCACAAGAGAAAATGTGATCCCTGTGCAACATGAATTTTTCAGTCAGGGCCAGTCAGGGTTACAGTTTGTAATTGCATTTGAAACTGTGTTTTAGCAGTTTAGGGTCTCGTTAGACACTCCTAAAAGTTCCAGTTTTTAGGATTGCGTGTTGGTTGCACGCAATCCTAAATCGTCCGCGGGAATCGAAAATGTGAAAACGGCGTTAGGACTCGTCCTAAAAGTTTTAGGATTCCCCAGGCAAATCGTCCTAAATTTTCCAGTAGCCCCGAGCTACTGAAAAATTTAGGATTCCCGATTATCACGGAGTCGGTGCGTCGCGCGCATGGCACCGTCGCCACAGGGTTGGTGGTCCAGTAGCGGTCCGTCGGGTGGGCGGTCAGACATCGGAGTTTTGGAGCGGGCCAAGCCCGACAATGGCCAGCGGTGGTAGCCGTTGGCAGCCGGTGGCGAGCGGGGCGGTTGGGGTGGGGCTGGGGGGTCTGGCGACCATCTGCGGGCTGCCGGCCGTAGTGGACCGTTGTCTCGACGTTGCTAGCGACAGTGGAGGACGATGTCGGTCTCTCCACGACGCACGGTGGCGCGGGCTCCGAGTGGTGGCGGCAATGGTCGTTTTTTGAATCGCATGCTGCCACCTTTGTTGTCTTCTCTGGCTGTTGTCGACCTATAAAGGTCCACCGGGCGCGACTCCCCCCGCATGTTACAGCAGTGTTTTGCAGTAGCAGTCGGGTGCGCAGTTGGGGTTGGTGGTGAATTTGATGGCTGACGTGGGGAGGAGATTTCCTCTGCTCGTGCTCGCCGTGGTCGTCTTCCTACTTGTCGTCTTCCTCCACGTGTGTTTGTCGTGGCGCCCGTGGAAACAACATCGCAAGAGGAGGGCATCGACGAAACGGTCGGCAGGAGAGCGTACAATGGCCGACATGCAGGGATGCGCGGGTGTTGGTGCGGGTCAGGGCGGAATACGAGCTGCGACGGCGGAGCCTCCACGGCGGTACGACCCATCCATGTACGCCCATTTGCAGTCGTGGGAGACGCCTCTGCCCCCGTCGGCAAGGAGCCCGAGACGGAAGAACTGCCAACGTTGCCTCTTGCCAACGGCTCGACGCAACTTTGGTGGCAAGCGGTACGAGCAGGCGGTTCGGGTTGCACCGAAGGCGACGAGTACACGTCTTTGCTGCAGCAAGGCTTGGGAGACGATGACGACGGAGGACTTGATCTCAGGTTTGGCTTATGTTCTGGCGGATCCAAGGAGGTGAGCCGTACGTTGATCATCGACACCGATCCTTCGCCACGTGGCGTGGGACAGGGTGGGAGTCAGCGTATGGATCAAACCACCCTTCATGCCCGTGCGTCCGTCGCTGCCAGTGCCGGGCCATCTATAGTGCTCCGGTGTCAAGGTTCCACAACACCGTCCGCCGATCGATCGACAAGTAACTGGCCTGCACGCAACGGAGCCGCAGCCGGGTCACCTCGCGTCGAGTGTGCACGTCCTTCGATGCCCGAATGCACAACACCGACCCAATTTGACGTGAGGGACGCGTGTGCATGCAGACCACCGCTGCGTCCAGTACCCACTGTGGAGAACATCACACGAGGTGTGTCGAACATGCGGGCACACAGTGATGGCGGCGACGATGCTGACGAGCGATTGACGGAGGACGTGTACGCAGGGGACGACGACGAAGACATTCCTGTTCGGCCGTTGGGGAAGACGGGTGGGAGGGGGAGAGCACGCAGCAGGGGTGTTGTTCGAGGTCGATCCGTTGGCCGCGGCGGCAGAGGCTGTGTCAACGACGATGCCGGGAAGTCTGTGACGTACTGGTCTCCGGAGGAACAACTGCAACTAGTGAGATGCAAGCGGGAGCAAGAGATGCACCTCGCCGGGCTGGGCCACAACTACGGGCGGATGCGGACGAAGGATTGGAAGTGGGACGACATTGCAAAGCGCATGGCGAGCGCGGGGAAACCGAAAGACGCGGACGACTGCATGAAGAAGTGGGACAATCTGTTCCAAAACTACAAGAAGATACAGCGGTTTCAGAACGCAAGCGGCCGT